AATGAAAGTGCTGTTTTAAGTGTTTTGTTTGTCTGTACAGCAATCTTGTCGATTTAAGGAGCCGAAATTTACCTCGAAGTTAATGAAAAATGACTTAAAACCTAGCGTCAATCTATTAGCATGGTACCTGACAAATAAATTTACACTGACATAAATTTACACTGTTTGTACCTGACAAACAAATAAACACTGAGTGTACACATAGTGACAAAGGCATGTTGGAACATGTTAGAGCGCTTGAATTTGGCCAAAAAATATTTAGCGAAAGATAACTGGAAATGTGTTTTCTGTGCCATGAAATGAATGCATATGTTGCTGTATGATGTTCTCTTGTACATCAACACTTCGGTAAAGTAAAAATTGAGTTTAGCTTGGAAAATAACTGGAAGATTTGGATCCAAAGTGCGCTCAGAACTTGGGCTATGACCCCCCGTTGCCATCATCATATTCCAGCAGATTGAACAAGTGATTCTGGTCGCCGAAACCTTTCAAATACGAACTCTGGATTTCTCAAATAAAGACAAAAATACATTGCATCCCATCATTTCTCTTCCCATTTTAATAGGAGACCAGTGTGCGGTTTGAAATTTGTTGTGATTCTCCTTAAAATCAGCCTGAGGTGATTCTGGTGATTCAAAAGTCTCTAGTGATTCAGAAGCCTAAACTTAGAACAAAAATGTTTATAACATTGCCCACCTGCAATAATATTTTTACTGCAGACTCTGCATACATATTTGTGCTATAAAAAAAATACACAAAGTTTTAGTCTAGACTGACAGTAAGGTAACTGTTTCGTTTATGTGACTGCAAACGCTGTCCTTCACGATAAACATATTACACATTTATGATGTACGGTCTGGAACTGGACGAAGACTCAGCTGAAAGCGTTCTATACACAAGCTTGCCTTTTTTTGTGGGCGGCCTGTCAGACTAGCCGGTGCAAGGAGAATCTGGAGGGTCTTACTGACGGCGATGCATGACTGCTTGTCTCCTTAGAGTCAAGTTTGTTGCCTTTGAAACCCAAGCTCAAGTACTCCTCACCATTGATGCAAAATCAGATCTGTCTATTCAAGACATTGAGGGCATTCTGGCTATAACGGAAGTGCACGGATTAAGACGCTAGCATGTCTTCGAAGGTGATGCCCTGGCGATTCACAGCTGCCTGGAGGGGAGCCTGAGGACCATCCTGTTTAATGGGCGTCTCTGTTGATGCCCATTGGGTTTGAAGGCCACGTAACATTGATGCCACCTCTCAGTGACATCTACTTTTTATACCCCTGTGGTGCCTCAAGGTGGAACGTCTGAATGCGTTCATTCATATTTCGTTATGTGGATTAAACAGTTGTGATATTCTTTGAGCTTGTTTATCCTCAGGTTCCCAAAAACATTTTCAGGAATAATACCTAGATACTGAGGGCAGCATAATATGGGTTAACGACATTTAGAAATCCTCACAGAAACTGGAGGGTCGTGTCGCCGGTTCAGTGTCATCGCCACTCCCAGGCTAAGCTGTGTGAAAACAGGCCCGGCGTCGGCGGCTTGATGTTTAGTATTTTAGACATGGTACATTAACGGCATCTGTTTAAGATCTAAATGCTTGTTAAATACGTTGAAATTTAGAAGGAAAAAAAAAAAAGAAAGGGTAAGGGGAGGGGGGGCTTGCATGACGACTCAACAAGTCGGCAAAGGTTATTACCCCGAAAGTATTACTACTGGTCCTTAACTAAGTGGAGCGCAGGATAAGGTTTCAAAGATTCTTTCAGATCGGTCGGCGAAATGAAAAACAGCGGCGGGGAGGAATTTCCCATCGGGTGGGCAGCCGGCCCCTGTTGCCGGGAGAAACTCGAGGACCCTGGAAGCCGGAAAGAGCGGCTGTTTCACACCTATGCACGAGGGCACTCGTGACACCAGCTAGAAGCTCTGATGTAATCCTTGATATTAAAACTTCGTCGACGCCCTGTAATGGTGCCGGCCAACGACGGCAACCGAGGTTCTTACACTGAGTATTGATTGTGTCTCTCTATTTGTATAAACCATCCATTAAGAGTGTTGATAACTCTGTATCCCAAAAAAACACAAAGAAATAACTGAGAATTGCGCTTCGCTGAGTTGATGAAGCAGTGCTGTTTTAGTGATGGGAGCTTCAGCTCACTCGAGATGTCCCTATACTTTTGTCCATTACTCAGCTAATATGTTTCCAGTGTAATATGCAATTGGTTAGTCTTTTACTATGCAGATAATGACCAGTCTGGTATGATATTGTTCCCATGGGGAATATATATAAAAAAGAATTATGTGAGCTTCGTCATTAGCCAGTTGCTAAAGTGTAAGTTTGCTCTTTAAAAGTTACTGGCTGGCATATATAATTTGCTCTTCTGGTCATAACAACTTGTAGGTGTTTTTCAAGGCAGAGCCCAAGCCAGTCAGATGCAAATTGTGCCATAAAAAAATCAAACGTGCTGTCATTTGTTTTGTCCGGTGTTTCATTTTCTTTTGCTATTTTTTTTTTCAGGCAGTTCATTTTGGATTTTGCATGTGATTAAAACTAGTCCATAGACTTATATAACTCAGGGTGGGGGGGGTGGTATGGGTGTTTGGGTGTTGGGTAATAAAGCCCCCATACTTTCACCAGTCTGCTTTAACGTTATGACCATCTCACATCAAAGGTAGTCCCACCAGGTTGAGAAAATCACATAAGGGAGACAGTTTGACCTCCAGGGGTTATTTGTTTGCGGTTTTCATGGAGGCCTGCAAAAGGAAGTCCCGCCCTCGTCCCCAGACACACACACACACACACACACAGCCCGTACTGCTGTTTGCCATTAAGCTGACGGGTTGGTGTCCCTCCCTAGTGCCGACACTCTTTCGCCTTCGCGTTCAGATCGCTCGAACCATGGCCAGGGTCAGGCTGAGGGCAGACACTACGGTGATGTATAGGAAAGCACGTCTGGGAATTTCTCTCACTCTTGAATCACATACCAGGAGAAGCAGCAGATCACCCCAGAGAACGCCTGAGGAGACACAGATGATAGCTGCGTCTTTTACTACCTTCATAATTCGCCTTTCTTCTATGGACAGACATGTTGTGTTTTATTAACGCAGTCTGCGATAGCCTTAAAAATGTTACCCCCCGCCCCCCTCCAAGATGGGGACACAGGGTCCTTACATTGGCACTTCATTTCAGCCACGGGGAATGGGACAGTAAATTTTGTTCTGGCCAAGTCCTCAGAGATGAGCAGGGAAGGAGAGAAATAGACAAATGTGAAGCGGTGAGGGGGGGGGGGGCGGCTCTGCTATGAGCTGCCCTTTGCCCTCAATTCTGACATGACAGACAGGCATCATCGGTGAGCTGATTGGCTCCTGTCGCATCCAATCAGATCCGCCAATTGCAGGCCGCTTCTGTGCTCATCCCCGCCCCTTCCTTTCACTGCCCATTGGGATGGTGCTCCTTATCTGCTCTCATTAACTATTACGGCAGAACCAAGCCGAAAATGTCCCCCTCCCCCGTCCATCCATCCATTATTCGAAAACAATTTGTTTTAATTGAGATTCGAGGAAGATATCGGAACGACATGAGAGGGGAGAATGAAATGTGGGTTTTTTTTTTTTTGTATTGCAATCCTGACCTTGGGGGTGTGAGTGACACAGAAACCTCCAATGTTTTTTCCAGAAACGAGAGGTTCGATTTGCAAATCTCGCACGTCTTTGTGCGGACGACAAAAAACGCAAATACCGCTGTCCCGTTCGTGCGTCTTCAAGGGCATCCCCACGCGCATGCTCGCACACACATACATGCACGTGGACAAACGTACATGCACGCACACACGTACATGCACGCGGACACACGTACATGCTTGCACACACATACATGCACGTGGACAAACGTACATGCACGCACACACGTACATGCACGCGGACACACGTGCACTACCTTTTGTCGCAGAGTGAATTGCAAGTATACCGCTGTCGCAAAAGGGACCCAAAAATACCTTTTTTTTTCCCTTTACCCTGCATACAGCGGCTAGGAGTGACAGGGGGATATTTCATCCTGTTGTCAGAATATTATTAATAAAACATCATGACTTGAGTGCAGCACAATTTCTCCTTTCAATCACTCCCAGCATCTGCCATGAAAATTTCATGCTGTATATAATTTCCACTTAATGCATTGCACTTAAAATGTCTGCGTGAGGGCTGCTCGTGGAATTTGAAAGGGTTAATTATATAAGGTTCTGAGAATCTGGCCCCATGCTTACCAAACAATGACTTGAGTGATTGTATGCAAATGTGCCTTTGACCTTTTTGGCACCTCGTGGTCAATTTATATGGTTATTAAGGTTCTGGAAAACTGATGAGCACACTGCTTGGGAACCCCCCCCCCCATTTCATTTTCTTGCAGGTCTGGAGGAAAAAAATATCATTTTTAGTTTTTTTTTTATTTATTTATTTTCCGCCGCGATGGAAGTGGCATGTGTTTTCCGGCGGGAGCTGGTTATCTGCTGTTGCTCAGACCGCTGAAAATTCATTAAAACGTGACATCAGCGCAGTGAGAGACAAATGATCTCAGGATGAAAGAGAACAGTGGGGCTTTCAGGGATTAGCGCTGCGCTGTCGTGGCCTAGCAGCTAACAGCATAAACAGATTAATCCGCTAGCTAAAATACACAGAATTATTAAACGCGGGGTTAGCCGGCATAAAGATCGCCGTGTAATCTGTCTGGTGCTAACATTCCGAAGAAGTATGTGCCATTCTGGTGCTGAGAGAGAGCTCACAGTCGGTCTCCATATAAGTACCCCTGACCTCTGCCTTAGGGGGTGGCTGTTTTTAAAAAAAATTTTTACTGCTCTGGATGAGTTGAAGAAGCAAATATCATTTTTCATCCCAAGCGGTAGGAGGTTGTCCCTGCCCTAGCCAGGTCCAACGGAATGACCAGGCGTGGTCTGGGGGGGGGGGTGGAGCCGGCCATCTCTTGACCACGTCTCTTGTTGCTGCGTTTGCAGAGGAGCCGGTCGAAGACTCAGAGGCGCCCCCTAGGTCCGTCGCTCTGGCCACGGCCGACGACAGAGACACCAGCGAGAGAGACGGCAAGGAAAGCAAGAAGGCCGAAAAAGAACCCAGTAAGAGCGTAGAACCTGGCCTTTAATTTTCTGCACCCCCCCTCCTCATGCACCGACCCCCCCCCCCCCACCAACTCCGTCTTCTGCACTCTTTCATCTTAAACTGTCTGCCCGTTCTGGTTGGTAATGGCTGCCTGTGTGTTTTGCATGCAATTCTGCACTGGTATCCTCCCGTTGACCGTGTCCTAATCATAACCATCTGACAGCGTGGATGTGGATAATTCAGAGAACGTTGCGGAATGACCAGCACCATTTTTTTTTTATTCAAAAAACACTTTTGTGCGCCTGCGGTTTTTTTAAGCTCCTTTTCCTTTAATCCTTGCTGTACTTGAGATTCCCCTCGACATTCCTGCGTACATGCAGAATTAGCGACCTCTCGTCTAGGTTTATATTATTATTTTTATAACGGCAGCCCTCGTAGCCTTTTTAAAGCCTGTTGTTGTGTAGGCTCCTTTCCATCATTTATCTAAAAGACCTAAGGCAGCTATTCTATTACAGAACATTCTTCCCAAAGCCATAAGGCTGATGATCTGCATATATTTGTAAATGCTAACTGAAGCACCATTTCGCTAACAGCAGGCCCGCGTGCAGCCTAGAAGCGAGCCTTCAGCTAGCATCTGGTACAGATACTTCAGGCCCTGTTGTATTTGATTTGGCAAGTAGGAATCTGTACAAGCTTTTATGTATGAGATGGAAATCCATGGTCAAAATGAATATTACATTGGTTCTTTTTACTGCGGCCTGTACCTGGCTACATGATGTGGGGATCAATGAAGCAGAAGAATTGCTGAAACAGGTTGGAACCTATTAGCTTAGCTAGTCATCTGTCTTTTAACCATATCTGCAATGCCAGGCTGTCAACGTGTTTGCGCCCCCGAAATATAAAGCGCCATTAACACTAAGGAGGAGGGTACAAATCCAAGCCACAGTCAAATGCTGTTTTTTTATTTATATCTTCTTTTTAGATATACAGGTACCAGAAAAATATGCCAGAAAATTCCTGATTTTACACGTTTCAGGTTTTTTCTTCTTCTTCTTTTTTTTTTTTTTAAACAAAACGCAGTTTTTTTGTTACAATGAATACGTGTCGAAGGGTGTTGTTGGAGCTTAGCGTTTTGTTCGAGTCTCAGATCTGTGGTTGTAAAGGATGTCATAAATTGTTGAGTATGACACGCAGATGCTGCCTTGTCATGTAGGATTTGTTTCAACTCCTCGAGGGTCACGGAGGGAAGAACTCAGTCAGCCAGGAAGGCAAGATTATGCCGTGCAAAGTTTTAGTGACGCTTGGTTCATCTGTGAGGGAGTCTGTCTTTAGAATGAGGGGTGTTTTCTTCGAAAAATCAGGGCTCTCTTACCTCATTTACATTGTCATTTTAATCTAGTGTCACTTCAGATTAATTCTAATCCAAATAGCACTTCCCATGCAAATGTAGTAATCTGGATAAACTCCAGATTACTTTGTGCTTTGCAGGGATGTAACATGTCAGCACGGTAGCTTAGGGAAGCGTTTTAATAACACAGTAAACACAAACATAACCACTAAGAAAATTATTGGTCGCCCTGACAGAAACTACCAAGGAAATAAGCCATTGTTCATAAAACTAATTTTCTTTTTTTAATGTCTTTTACAATTTAAATATTACAGAGAAGTGAAATGAAATGTTGTGCTTGCAAACTAGATCAAATATTTAATATTTCAAATTTATAACTCTTCATTGAAACATTTCTTGCACATACCCATAAATTAACTGGATGAGGAGTTACATGTGCGCAAATTCCATCTCGAATAACATTTCTATATTTTTAATAGTTATTTAGGATATAGGTGGAAGCCCCCAGCCATGAAATGCACTTTGAGTTTAAAGAATGTACATTCTGACTCATTTGTCATATAGTGATCTGTGGCTCTGGGCTTTTTTGAGTTTAGGGTTCAGAATGTTGAATTCACATGATGCTGAACTGCTGAAGGACACAGTAGTGCCTAATCCAAACCAGTGTCCATCTAAATTAGCAGAAATGCAGGTTGTCTTTCAGAGCAATGGATTATTTCTGCTCTGTTCCTGGCATCTGGTAAAGTGGACCTAATGCCACCAAGATGGCCTCCATAAATGACGGCTAAAAATTAGTTATGATGATATTTATTTTAGACTATTTATATTTCCTACAACTTAGTTTATGTATAGAATATTTACATTTATTTCTACTCCAAGTATTGTTTTAGACAAAATACAGTGCAAAATTGTATTTTATTCATGTTGGTAAAATAAAAAAAGGAAAGAAAAGAAAACCAAGCTATGTTAATAGATGTTTAAAAACATACAATGGGATATTTTCCAGGAGAAAGTGACATGGCAATAATATAAGAAACACATAAAGTAAGATTCTCCTTTAACGTAAGACCGTTAGATGAAAAATGAGCAAGGATTTGACAGCTGTATATAAAGACGGGTGGTGGCACTGCTTGCTTCATTTCTACAATGCTAACAGCACGGACGTCATAAATCACCTTTTGATTAATCCAATCAGCCGAGGCCCCGCCTCTTCGGGGCGTATGTCATCTGAAGACAGACGACGGTGCAATTATTTTATCTATTGCTTTGGCGCAGCGCACCCTGCGTCTTGGGACAAAGAAGAAAGGGACGGTGTCATTGAATGTGAAGGGGTGACTTAAGCGTGATCTGGGGAACAATAACCAGTAGCTCCAGTGCTCCATAACGTGCCTGTTCCTTTGTCCCAGTTCAGTAGCGGTGGGAGGAGGGCTGAACACAGGTCAAACGCTTTCACCGCACAGGAAAAATAACGGCTTAAAATGGGCCAGAAAGCACCTCCGTTTTGTTGCTGACGTCCGAAGCTATTTGTCCAAACAAATGATATTCAAAAGGCTACGCAGATTGCTGGCTGTAAACCTTTTGTGCGGTTTGGGAAATGTGATTTACACATGCCTATCACTGCCTTCATTTCCAAAGGTGCATGTGTAATATATTATATATAGTTGTTTTTCTCCCTCTGTGCTATGAATATGCATAAAAGCAGCTTGTTTCCTTAGCAAATAAATCATAAAGATGAATCCTCATGCACGCGGCACACAATCTGCTCAGCCCTTAGACTGTACATTTACATCCAATAGAGTGGCAAGCAGCTCTCAGCTTCATTGTATTGTGAAATGCATTTGCGCCTGGTTGTCCAGCAATCGCCTCCTCGGCCGGGAAATAATTTTGTTGCAAATTGACTGGAAGGTGGTGAAGATTGAAAGTTAAAATTAGAAATACTTATAATAAATAGCAGCGTGGTGGGGGGGGGGGAGATGATGTGGCCCGGCGATGAGACTGGTGCACCAGGAAAATTAGGTTTTCTGTTTGTCATGAAGTGTATGTGATGGCCCAGCCCCCCCCCCCCCCCCCCCCCCCCCAGAGACAATGCTGCTGGCACATCAAAGCCAGGAGAAAGGACTATCTCCCATTAGGGGCTGAAGAAAATTCTCAGATGCTTTTGGAAATTTGTATCATGCCCTTGTCTGAGATGTCTGAGAGTTTTATATTTTGTGCCCCCCCCCCCCCCCCCCCCCGACAGACACACACACACTCAGCTTTGTGTCACAATCCTAGACAGGCTAATATTTCAGACTTAAAAAAAAATACCCCATATAACAAAAATCGAGATATATGAGCATAGACTAAATAATGGTCTGTTTCCAGAGTAAAGAACAGAATAACATGGCCAAGGGGTCTTTCAATTGCTTTGCAATTCCGTGCTTCCTCCGTGATGCCAGTCTTACCCGGGTAAAATGGGAATCTCGCCGGTGATGAGCCAATCGAAATAAGGGGTTCCGTCGGCTTCGGGATTGGATATACTACATAAGCTCGGCAGGTGGATGTGCGGCCTCTCTCTAAAGCATGAGGGTCATGAAAAATTTATCACTTGCTGCACCGTCGCTAAATACAGCTGGGGGGCTGGTTTCCAGAGTTGAGCTCATCTGTAAGGATGGTAAGACTGCTGTCTCCCAGTGCATGGCATGGATATTTCGGATAATACTTTTGCCAAAAGGTCCTACGGCGGTGGGGCATCTGTGTCTCCAAATGAACTGTAGTCATATTACCGAAATATTCAGTGTTAGTCTTGGGGAGATCGCGTAATGCATATGCAATTCTGCAAGCCCGTTTGATTTTTTTTCAAGGTAAAGGGCAAGCATTTTTATGAATAAATTTTATAGTAAACTACCGAACTGTATAAATAAACTTTTTGGATAATGTTTACGTAATCGTTTTTAATTGTAGTCGACACGTGACATATTTCAGTATCCATCATTATGAAGTAGTTTGAATGTGGGTGATGGAATGATTCATTGGGTAGCACAGTTTCCTGGCACCGCAGGGTTTAATTTCTACCCCTGCTGTGTGTGCAGAGGTGGAAGTTTCAGGTTCAGAAAGTAAAAATCCAGGCCAAGATTTTGTTTCAACCAACCTGTTGAGTACTACTGTATATGACTGTGACTCTTTATATTCAACTGGTTGGTTGAAACAAAACCCTGGTCAGGATTTTTACTTTCTGGACCTGAAATTTCCACCTCTGTGTGTGTGTTCCCCGGTGTCGAGTGGATCTCTTCCCCTCCCCACATATATGTACAGTTAGGCCTGCCTTCAGCCCCCCGACTGGCTCCAGCCTCCCAAACTTGGAAGATCGTTCAACGTTTGAAAAGAAGTTTTATTTTAGTTTAATATTATCCATATCATTTCATAAAAAAATTTATAACGCTATATTATGAAATAGCTTTTATATATATTGCGAAGACTGACATTTAAAGTAATATACTTAGGACTTCACTCAAAAATCTCTAGTCAGAGATTGCAATTGATTCATCTTTAAATATACGGTTACCTGGAGCCTGGGATAACTAATATATAACTATGACATTGATCAACTTCAGTCAGATTAGTTATATTGTGGAGATTTTAAATTACCTTACGGTATTTTCCCTCCTTTTTCTTAGTTGTTATTCTTTCATATGTATCATAATTAACAGTTAGTTAATAGCTTTTGATATATAAATGTTGTCTCTTAAGAGAATCCTTCCTGAATCTTCTTTGGGTAACACATTTACTTTCCTTATTTTCAAACTGTTTAAAGAAAAGAGGAACAGTTTTGCAGACTGTTTAGATTTCTCCCCTGTTCCTCGCAGGGATTAATGCGCTGGATAAAGAGACTGCAGGTACGGCTGCGATAGGAAAGAGGTCTCTGTCGCAGGAAAAGGAGAATGACGCCTCGGCAAAGAGGCCAAAATCGGCAGAGGACAAGACGGCGAGCAGTGAGCAGGTAAAACTTGTGAATCCCATGATGGACTGCAGAAGCCTGTGCTGGCATTGGGCTCTATGGCCCATTGGGTCTTTGGGCAAAGTCCTTAACCCCAGTCACTTCTGGGGCGCATTGGACAAGCATGTCTGTTAAATGAGTAAATTGGGAGGAGAGGGGTTAACTGGAGACCCACAAAGGGGAGGAGTTTCAGGGCAGCCCCACCCACTTCAGCAGAATACCTGAGTTCACTTCCGCCCTCAGCGTCTCTCCATATCTTATGTGATTTTAAATTAAATTATGAAGTATTAGCTGGTCTTGTAGGACTTTGAGTGATGCGGGTCTTAGTAATTTCTGAAATGGATTACATTAAGAGAGGTGCTGGGAAGCAGCAATCTAAAAGTACTCCTTCTAATGAGGGTCAAGCCGAGACTGAAAAGGGGGACACACCTTTGTCATTTGTAATCTTCTGATTAGAATTTTCAGCCAATCACGTTTGGCCAATAAAATTGCACGAAGTGAACACTTAGGCGAATTAGATTAAATCAGCTTTCTTTTTATTTACATTTTGTGGGGTCATATTTGTAAAGTATGAAATATATTCTATTAAAAGAATAAGAAAATATGTATTTGCTGCTTTGCCTAAGTTCCTCTCTCTAATGTTTTTCGGATCTGTAAACACTTGCATGTTTGTGTTTCCTTTGGTTTAAGAAATTCTGGTTTTTTTTTAACCAGGTTCAGCAGTGCCCATACTGTAATTACAGTAGCAAAGATGGAAATCGCATCCAGATGCACATTATTTCCCAGCATTCCATGCAGCCTGTCATCTGCTGCCCCCTCTGCCAAGACCTGCTCAGCAACAAGATCCACCTTCAGCTTCACCTTACTCACCTCCACAGCGTGGCTCCAGACTGCGTGGAGAAGCTGCTCATGACCGTATGGACAGCATGCTTTTACTGGCCGTTTTCAGAAACCGTAGTTTAAAAAAAAAAAGTAAAATTGGTCATGGCTGTCACCCTTGCTGAGGTCCAGAGTACTGTGGCCAACTTGGACAAAGGCTGTCTGTGTTAAATGTTTCCCCGGCATTCACAGCCCCCCCCCAGGGATTTAGTCATGAACATGAAAGTTTTCCTCTATTGGGAAAGCCAGCACCACTCTTAAAAATAAACTTTTGAACTTTCAAAAAGAATTTTTACTTGTATATTTTAAAGAGCATTAAATGTTTGCACAGTTACATATAGCATGTTTTAATTGTATGTTTATGTGCATAGAAAGTGAGAAAAATGTAAGAATTGGAAAAAATCCTGTAAAGGTTAGTGTTACAGCATTCATATTTAATTATGGTTTTTACCTTTTTTTTGTTCCAGGTTTCGGGACCAGATGTTATGATACCTAACAACATGCTGTTACCTACATCCACACAAGATAAAGTCCCATCTCTTGTGGACACTTCCACTGCTTTACCGGAGGTCTCAGGAAAGTCTCAGAGTAAGAATATACCGCTTGCATCGTTAGACAGCTTTCTGCCTAATCTTTCAAATAGTTGAGGCAAGCTTACCTTTAACAAGATAATAATTGGCTGGGGAAAAAAAGTTAATTATTGTTGACTAATCTTTTTTTTTTTGGAATTACAGATCTCTTTTAGTAGTGACAGTTCACTAAGATTCTCATCAATGATCTATCTAATGGGCATTTTCCACAATTTTCACAGATTAATTTGGATACTGTGGAAATTATCCATCTATCTGTCTTCCAGCCCTTACCCAGTGCAGGGTTGAAATCTTCATGGTAACATGAATATGATAGAGGGTTATTTCGAGTGTATAAGGTAGCCTGCTTCACTCCCTTTCAGGTGACAGTTCCAGCGATGAGAAGAATAGTGCTTCGCTGGATAGGGGTGAACAGGAGCTTTCAAACGAGGAACTGAAGCCGCCAAAGGAAGCCTCTGAGGCACCAGACTGGAAGAAGAGTGGCAGCCAGGACCCAAAGAGCGCAGACCCGCTGCAGGAGCACCTGACCGAGCTTCAGAAGCGCCAGCCGCTCTCCGTGTCTGATCGCCATGTCTACAAGTTCCGCTGCAACCACTGCAGCCTGGCTTTCAAGACTATGCAGAAGCTTCAGATCCATTCCCAGTACCACGCCATCCGGGCTGCCACCATGTGCAGCCTGTGCCAGCGCAGCTTCCGGACGTTTCTGGCCCTCAGGAAGCACCTGGAGACAGGGCACCCGGAGCTGAGCGAAGCAGAAGTGCAGCAGCTCTGCAGCACCCTTCCCGTCAACGGGGACCTGTGTTCCGAAGATGCCCGGCCACTCGAGGATGCTCAGATGTTTTCACAGGACATGGATAAAGACGATGAGCTAGACCCAGAAGGGAAAGCCAGCCCAACGGGCAGTGACAGCAGCTCGTTGCTGGATGAGTTGGGCTCAGAGCCAAAGCGGACTTTGCCATTCCGAAAAGGGCCCAATTTCACTATGGAAAAGTTTTTAGACCCTTCCCGTCCGTATAAGTGCACGGTGTGTAAGGAGTCCTTCACCCAGAAGAACATCCTGTTAGTCCATTATAATTCTGTCTCACACTTACACAAGCTGAAGAAAGTTCTGCAGGAGGCGTCGAGTCCAGTTCCCCAGGAGACCAACAACAATGTTGATAACAAACCATATAAATGCAATATTTGTAATGTTGCTTACAGCCAAAGTTCAACGCTGGAGATCCACATGCGATCTGTGCTCCACCAGACAAAAGCCAGAACTGCCAAAATGGAAACCAGCAGCACTGTAGTGAGTGGAAACAGTGGAGTGACGTCCTCTAACAGCCCTGTTAGTCAAGGAAGCGTAGACTCCACAGGCTTAACAGTGTCAGCTAACAAAGAAAACAGTGTAGAAGCCAAAGAAATCAACAAAAAGCATGCTACCGATCATATTCCTGTCCAGCCCACCCAGCCACCGGCCCAGTCACCAGCACAGCTTCAGATGCAGCTGCAGCATGAGTTCCAGCAGCAGGCTGCTTTCTTTCAGCCGCAGTTCCTGAATCCAGCCTTCTTTCCTCACTTTCCAATGACCCCCGAGGCTCTGCTGCAATTCCAGCAGCCCCAGTTCCTCTTCCCGTTCTATATTCCCGGCACAGAGTTCAGCCTCAGTCCCGAGCTGGCACTGCATTCCGCTGCCTTCGGGATGCCTGGCATGACGGGATCCTTTCTCGAGGACCTGAAACAGCAGATGCAGCAGCAGCACCAGCTGGGCCAGCAGCACCTTCAGCTATCCCAACAACAGCAGGCTTCTCAGATGCAGCAGCAAAAAATACCGCAGCAGACAAGCAAGCCCAAGACCGAGCAGAACAGTGCGTCAGTCGCTGAGCTTCAGATGTCCAGGGAATCGGAGGATATCCAGGAGAAAGCAGAAAACAAGTCTAAACAGGAGACTTCAAGGGATGGCGAAAGCTCAAAGGACAGCAAAGATTCCAAAAAACAAAAGCTTTCAGAGCCCCTATTCCCACCACCTCGTATTGTCTCAGGTGCAAGAGGCAATGCTGCTAAAGCTTTATTGGAGAACTTTGGCTTTGAGCTGGTCATTCAATACAACGAAAACAGGCAGAAAAACCAGAAGAAGAACCGAACCAGTGAGGAGGAGGCCCATGATAAGCTTGAGTGCGGGATGTGTGGAAAATTCTTCTCCAACATGCTCATTCTCAAGAGTCACCAAGAGCATGTTCACGGACAGTTCTTTCCTTATGGAGAGTTGGAGAAGTTTGCCCAGCAGTACAGAGAGGCATATGACAAACTGTATCCCATAAACCCAACATCTCCGGAGACTCCTCCACCACCTCCGCCCCCGCCTCCGCCTCCACCACTGCCATCACCATCGCAACCAACTGCCACCTCTATCGGAAAGACTCCAACACCCAACACTGCCCCTTTGCAGACCACGCAGCCTCCAGCACCGCCGCCACCTCCGCCCCCACCACCACCTCCACCTCCATCTACTGCTCCTCCCCAGGTCCAGCTACCTGTGTCCTTGGACCTGCCTCTCTTCCCACCACTCATGATGCAGTCAGTACAGCACCCTGGCCTCCCTCCTCAACTTGCTCTCCAGCTGCCCACGATGGACTCCCTTTCATCAGATCTTACGCAGCTCTGTCAACAACAGCTGGGTTTGGATCCGAACTTCCTCCGACACTCACAGTTTAAGCGCCCTCGCACCCGGATCACAGATGATCAGCTGAAGATCCTTCGTGCCAACTTTGATATCAACAACTCCCCCACCGAAGAGCAGATTCAAGAAATGGCTGACAAGTCGGGCCTCCCGCAGAAAGTTATTAAGCACTGGTTCCGGAACACACTTTTTAAAGAGAGGCAGCGCTGCAAAGATTCCCCTTACAACTTTAGCATTCCTCCCATCACCACTTTGGAAGACATTAGGATGGAATCCCAGTTTGGCATACCGGAGTACTACAAAACTGATGGCAACATGAATAAGAGGTCATCTAGGACTCGATTCACAGACTACCAGTTAAGGGTCCTTCAAGACTTTTTTGATACCAATGCTTACCCTAAGGATGATGAGATAGAGCAGCTCTCTACAGTGCTCAACCTGCCAACTCGAGTAATTGTCGTGTGGTTTCAGAACGCACGCCAGAAGGCTCGTAAAACTTATGAGAATCAGGCAGATGCAAAGGATGGCGACAAAAAGGAACTTACCAATGAGCGCTACATTAGGACCAGTAACATGCAGTACCAGTGTAAGAAATGCAGTGTTGTTTTCCCCCGCATTTTTGACCTCATTACTCACCAGAAGAAACTGTGTTACAAAGATGAGGATGATGATGGGATTGATGAGAACCTGACTGAAGAATATATAGATGCTTTTGACCAATGCAGTCAGAAAAGTTTTGGGTACCCAGATTTATCCAAAGTCCCGTTTGGAACAGCTACAAGTTCTGGGTCAAGTTCTCCTTTAATGCCTTCACCTCGCCCTGACATGGGGAAAACCTCACCTAAACCGGAATTAACCAGTGAAAGACCAAAGCAAGCAGAGGCTGTTTCCTCACAAGTGATAAAATCTTTATCAGACTCAAGACCATCTAAGGCATCAACTCCTCAACCACAACACAAAACTCCCCAGCTCCAAATGGTCAGGCCACATTCTCAGCCTCAGTCAGCTACCATCCCATCCAGCCCTTTGTCTATTGCCCTCTCCTCTTTGTCAAACAGCCTACCTCCTCAGATGTTGCAGTACCAGTGTGACCAGTGCAAAATTGCCTTCCCTACTGTCGATCTCTGGCAAGAGCACCAGCACATGCATTTTCTAGCAGCCCAAAATCAGTTCCTCCACTCACAGTTCCTAGAAAGACCCCTAGACATGCCCTACATGATCTTTGATCCGAACAACCCCCTTATGACTGGGCAGTTGCTCTCTGGAGCACTCTCTCAGATGCCAACACAGAGCAGTTCAACACTACCCAACCCCCTAGTTTCTGGTACCACTTCTCTGAAGCGCAAATTTGATGAAAAAGAAGAAAACAGTGCTAATGAGAAAGATGGAGGAAACAGTGGTGAAGACCAGCACAGGGACAAACGCTTGAGGACAACCATCACGCCAGAGCAACTTGAGATCCTGTACGAGAAGTACCTGCTTGATTCTAACCCGACTCGAAAAATGTTAGACCACATTGCTCATGAAGTCGGCCTGAAGAAGCGAGTGGTGCAGGTTTGGTTTCAGAATACCCGTGCGAGAGAAAGGAAAGGACAGTTTCGAGCTATTGGACCTGCCCAGTCACATAAAAAATGCCCTTTCTGCAGGGCACTTTTCAAGGCTAAGTCAGCTCTGGATAGTCACATTCGTTCCAGGCACTGGCATGAGGCGAAACAGGCAGGATTTAGTTTGCCTCCAAGCCCTGTGATGACACAAGAGGATGGACGTGAAAGCCCAAACAAATACAGTTTCTTTGAATATCCACAACTGCCAACCAAGTCAGAAACAAGTGAGTATGAGGTGCCCACTGCATCTTCTACACCAGTAAAACCTTCTGAATCACTGGTAAAAAATTTCTTAAACCCTTCATCCTTAAAGGCAGAAAGCAGTGATGAAATTGAAGGGTTTAATATGAATTCTGCTGAGGTTTCCTTTGATGTAACAAAGACAGATTTTGATGAGACCTCATCAATTAACACAGCTATAAGTGATGCAACGACTGGCGATGAGGGGAATAACGAAGTTGAGAGTGTAAGTGGCAGTGCAGGTGACAAGCTAGGAGAACTGAAAATGAATCCCGCACCAAACTCTGAAGCCTGTGAAGAACGTTTTCCGTTTAACTTAGTCAGCCAGTCTTTGGGTTACACTGGTAAAGACAGCGAACAGTATTTCAGCATGCGAGATGACAACCAAGATGACAATGCAGATCAAAGCGAGACCTCAAGCTTGGCAGATCCAAGCTCGCCCAGCCCTTTTAGTGGCAGTAACCCCTTCAAATCTGGAAAAGGTGGTGGGGAGAGGCCTGGTCATAAACGCTTTAGGACCCAGATGAGCAACCTGCAGCTGAAGGTGCTTAAAGCATGCTTTGGTGACTACCGTACACCAACAATGCAGGAGTGTGAGATGCTGGGAAATGACATAGGACTCCCAAAGCGGGTTGTGCAGGTTTGGTTCCAGAATGCCCGAGCAAAAGAGAAGAAATTCAAAATAAACATTGGGAAACCATTCATGATAAGCCAGGGCTCGCCGGAAGGGCCACGGACTGAGTGTACCCTGTGTGCAGTGAAGTATACAGCCAGACTGTCTATCAGAGATCATATTTTCTCTAAA